GTCCGGGTGCTGGGCCCAGTAAGGATCGGGGCCGGGAGGGGGCCCCGAATGATGCTGGGGAGAGGCCAGTGCGGGTGGGAGGGTCCCAGAGTCCACTCGCTGGGGGGGACGACGACGACGGACCCTCGTGCTGATCCCCCCCCGATCCCGCAGGAACTTCATGCGCGATGCCGAGGAGATCGCCTGCAGCCGGCGCATGAACAGCCTGACGCTGAACCGGCACACGGAGATCCTGGAGATCCTGGAGATCCCGCAGCTCATGGACACCTGCGTCCGCAACGGCTACTACGAGGAGGCGCTGGAGCTCGCTGCCTACGTGCGCCGGCTGGAGAGGAAGCACAGCAGCATCCCCGTGATCCAGGTAGGCCCCGCTCTGCCCCTGCCCCGCGGCCACCCCGTGCCCGGCCCCCGTGGCTGAGGCCTCTCTCCTGCCCCAGGGCATCGTGGACGAGGTGCGCCAGTCCGCCCAGCTGATGCTGAACCAGCTCATCCAGCAGCTCCGCACCAACATCCAGCTGCCGGCCTGCCTGCGGGTCATCGGCTACCTGCGGCGCATGGACGTCTTCACGGAGGCCGAGCTGCGCATCAAGTTCCTGCAGGCGCGGGATGCCTGGCTGCGCTCCATCCAGGCCTCCATCCCCGACGACGACCCCTACTTCCACATCACCAAGACCATCGAGGCCTGCCGCGTCCACCTCTTCGACATCGTCACCCAGTATCGCGCCATCTTCTCCGACGAGGAGCCGCTCCTGCCCCCCGAGGGGCAGGCCCTCAACGAGGGGGCCATCTTCCACGGCTGGGTGCTGCAGAAGGTCTCCGAGTTCCTGCGGACGCTGGAGCGCGATCTCCGGCGCGGGGTGGGCGGCCGCCTGGACTCGCTGCTGGGGCAGTGCATGTACTTCGGCCTCTCCTTCAGCAGGGTGGGGGCCGATTTCCGCGGGCAGCTGGCCCCCCTCTTCCAGCGCGTGGCTGCCGCCGCTTTCGGGAAGGCGGTGGAGGAGGCGGTGGAGAAGTTTCGGGAGGAGATGAATTCCTACACGCTCATCTC